TTACAACCTCTCCCTAGGTTCGTCAACCGACGCCACTCCTCTTGGGACGATCCCCGACTCTCACCACACACTCCTCTCAGTGTACAAGTGTATTACAAAGTGTATCTCATAATAAGCATAATATAAATCAAATGATTGTTCTCTAAACAAGGTGAGAACTCAATTAAGCACAACTCTTAGTCACAAACCCACAACCCCAAATTATACTATGAATGTAAATACAATAAGCTCAAAACAAAAGGTTGTGTGTGAACAAAGAGATATAAATTAAAACTAAACTCAATGTAGTTCTAGCTTAATAACAATGATAATCAAATATATAAAAGAGCTAGAAATAGAGTTTAAAAAACTTCTCAATAGATCAAGAGTTGGAGGGAGAATAGTTGGAAGCTCAAACTTCAATAGATGATCTCCTCAAGCTCTTGTAGAATTAAATTCTCAAACTCAAACACCCAATTGCTTAAAAGCTTCTAAACAAACATTAAACAAACTTAAACCCTTATTTAAAACTCTTTAAACTTGTTTAAAACATTTCTTAAGTGCCCTTAGAAGTATGAGGGCATGGGGTATATATAGGCTCATGAAACAAGCCCAAAAACCCAAAAAAACCAAGCAAAAAGACAAAATAACGGATATATCTAAATCTGGAAAATATAGACAGCTACAGTAACCAACCTCCAGAGACATTTCCGGTCGACCGGTCCGGTCGACCGGATTACTGTAGCAGTGCGCAGCTGTTTTGTAAAATCAATTTTTGTAAAATCAGTTAAAAATAGTAAAACAGCTCCAAAAGTTATTAAATTTTGTGAGAAGGTTCTAGACATGTAGAATGACATGTTAGAGAAAGAATTTCTGAAAAATAATTTCCCAGTTGAGAGAAATAAATGTTTGAACACAGATATACAGTTTCTGAAAATCTGCTGACATACATGATTTTGTAATATCAATTGGGCACAGTAAATCAACTCTAAAAATAGTAAAATTTTGAGGGAAGTTTCTAAACATGTAGATAAACATGTAAAAGAAAGAATTTCTTGAATATCACTTCCAATTTATAAAAACTCATCTGTTGTGTAAAACATGCACGAACATGTGCACGAACAAAAACATGATTTTGTAAATTCCATTAAACATAACAAATCAATTCCAAACTTGATGAAATTTTGTGAAATGTTTATAAACATGAAAAAAAACATGTTAGAAAAAGAATTTCTCGAATTGAATTTCTATTTGTGAAAACTCATGTATTTTGCAAGTGTGTCCAAAACATAAAAACCCAAAACCATGCATGTATATATATAACTATATATATATATAGAAACCAAATACGTGTGTGTATATGATATTGAGCTTAAGGTACTTAACACACATAATATAAAACCTAAACTAAGTTACCCAAGCTAGATCTTGATCTTCAATAAGCTCTTCTTGGTAATCTCGCGGATGAAGCTTGAACTTAATCTTTAACTTTGAATTGCAAGGCTTCACTCCATAATTCCGCCAACCTCCATTTGATATCATCATTGAAGCACTATTCCATCCATCCTCCAACTCGTTTTTTGTCTATAATAGATACAAAACACAAATACTAGACAAAAAATATTAGTGGTAAATTGTTTGTTAAACATCATCAAAACAAAGAGGCCAACAGGATGCACGGGCGGGTCGGATTCGTCCGACCCGCGCGGGCGCGGGTTGGATCGCGCACGCGCTTTTTTGGCCTTTGGTGTTTTCCGGTTTTCCGGGACTTGTATTTTCCACCGTTTTGCGTATTTGACCATCTTGCACGCTTCGTTGCGGGACTGACCGTCGAACGCGCGTTGGTTGACGTGCGCGTGTTGATTGATGAGCGCGTGTTGACCGACGTGCACGAACTGATTGACGCGCACGTGTTGACCGACGCGCGCGAGCTGATTGACGAGCGCGTGTTGACCGACGTGCGCGAACTGATTAACGAGCGCGTGTTGACCGACGCGCACCAACTGATTGACGCGCGCGTGTTGACCGACGTGCGCGAACTGATTGACGCGCGCGTGTTGACCGACGCACGCGAGCTGATTGACGCGAGCGTGTTGACCAACGCACGCGAGCTGATTGATACGCGCGGGCCACTTGGTTCGTCGTTTTGCTTCATGTGCTTGTCGACGACAGATAATCCTCTTAGACTCGGATAACGACGTTCGTTGTCTTCTTTCCGTTTCGAGCTGTGTACGGACACCTATAGGCATTTTTAGATGCCTACACTATGGTCATCTGTATCCTTATATCTTTCAAAGATGTGTGTTTTGTACATTGTTTACTCGATGATGATAAAGAGTGGCATGATTTACTATTGGAGGCATCACACACCTCCTCTAGTAATCAAATTCGTGAGCTTTTTTAAGTCTTACTTATGTTTTTTTTTTAAAGGCAGGTAGGGTAGTCTTATGTTTTTGTTTGGAGTGTGGCTAATCTTGTTCAATTGTGGGAGAAAAACTAGAAATTACTTTTAGAGAGTCTTTTACAAAATCCCAAACTATGGGGAGGGCCAGATCTGAGATTGGAGAGATGGCCAGATCTGAGATTGAAAAAAAAAAACTCATTTCAATTACACTACAATTAAATGCAGAACACAAAGCTCTTTATCAACATCTAAATGAAGACCAAAAAATGCTTTTCATTAGATAAATGATTTAATGAAAATTAAAACAAAGAAATTTTTCTTTGTGTGTAGTCATGGAGAAACAGATAAAACTTTTCTTTGGAATGCAATTATAGCTCATATTCACTCACAATCTATGATTATTCTAGCACTTGCTTCTTTTAGCATTGCCTCTGCTCTTTTACGAGGTGTAGTTAATGTATAGTTAATCAAATTTAGTTAATGTATAGTTAATTTAAAATAAAATAATTGAGTTAATGTATAGTTAATTCAATTTGATTAATATTCTTTAAAACGCAACCCTTATAATTTTTTATTAATATATTTTATTAATTATAGGTTGTTTTTCTAGTATAGGGTGATTTTCTAGTATAGGCTTTTTTTCCTAGTATAGGTTGTTTTTCTAGTATAGGTTTTTTTTAATTATAGGTTGTCTTTATAGTATAGGGTGTTTTTCTAGTATAGGCTTTTTTTTCCTAGTATAGGCTGTTTTTCTAGTATAGGATTTTTTTGTTTTTTTGTTTTTTAGCTACAATAGCTATTTTTTTTAATTATCTAACTAATTTTTACGCTATAAATAACACACTACCCTGAAGTGCACTTTCACACTTCACTCTTTTATTGTTTCTACATCTATTTCATTATATATACTACAATTTAAGGTATGTTATAATTTTTATTTAATTTTTTTTATTTTTTTATTTTTACACTTCATGTTTCTTATATCTTCAACAATTTGAGAATTTTAATTAAGTCATACTCATGTGAGATTTATACTTGATGTAGATGGAAAAAAAATAATCCATATTATGTCAATTTGATGACTAGTCATTATTGATGGGTAGGGGTGTCCATTCGGCCCGGGCCTGAGCGGTCCGGGCTCGGGCCTGAGCGAGCTGGCCCTGTTTTTTTTTATTTTTTAAATTTTTTTTAAAAAAAATTAAAAAAACAATAAATCATAAAATATACAGAAAATAACATAATTTTTTTTAATAACTTAAAATGACATAAATTACAAGTATAAAAAATTATAAAAATAAAATATGCTAAAAAATAATTTCTTTTTTAATAATCAGTAAATCCTTTACAAGTATAAATTTATTTCAAAATTCGTCGCATCATAGTAGATGAGTAAATCCCAACTAGGTTGGCACCTACTCACCTATATCACTATCATTTGTAACTTTTTTTAAAATAATTCATTACAAATTTAAATCTAAAAAATAAAAATTTTAATTTAATGAATATTATCTAATCTTTATATCTATCTACTAGTCTCAACTCTTCAAATTTATCTTCAATTATAGCAATCAGATTGATGTCTTGTGTTCGCTTCTCGTACCTCCACCAATCTTGTAAGCACATCACCGCTTTTACAGTATACAGATCTAAGCATGTCATGTGGTCGTTGATTAAACGTCCTGCTGTGTTGAAGGTGGATTCCGAAGCTACCGTCGAAACCTGCACTAATAGTAAGTCACAAACCATGGTGAAAAGTATAGGATATGAAACTGATCCATATACTCTCCACCATTACAAAATATCTAAAGCATTTTCTTGACATTTAACTAAGAAAGCAGAAAAATATTCATCTAATTCAAAAACCTCTAATCCTGAACCAATTCCAGATCCACCAGTTAGTTCAGCTATCATTTCATACCTATCAAAACTTACACTTTTACCTCGACCTGTGCTCGAAGCCGAAGGCGCTGAAGCTGTAGACTGTTGTGTAGCTACACCATGTTTAGCTGCATACTCATCAATTTTTAGTTTCATAAGTTCTTCAATTATTAAATTTGTAATATTAATACCAGTGTATGACTCTTCAATTGCAATAAAAGAAACAACTCTTTTAAACATTTGCTAATTTTCATCAATCCAGTGTGCTAACAACTCTTTTAAACATTTGCTAATTTTCATCAATCCAGTGTGCTGTGATACATAAATAACCAGTTTGCACTCTAGATGTCCAAATATCAGAAGTTAAAAAAAATTTACAGTTTAAATTTTTAAAATAAGAAATTATTTTTCCTTGTTCCTCCTGATAATATTTTAAAATATCACATTGACAGGTTTGATGAGAAAATTTTGTAAATACGGTATAAAAACAATCTCTAAACAAATCTTCAAATTCATCATCTTCTACTAATTTAAAAGATAGGTTTTTAAGAATAATAAACCTGATTACGCATTTCCTAGCTCGGACAGCATCATAATTCCAACTACCGAGGGTATCAAAAGAGGAGGATTGGGAAATCATAGACTGTCGGATATCACCTGAAAGATTCTGGTCTTTGTTGTGTTTTTCTATATGGCGTTTGAGATGGTTGGTGTCGCTCTTATGATGAGCTTGGAAAACCTGGCCGCACAATGCACATTTTGCCTTCTGGGAGAGAATCCTACCGTGTTCATCCTTGGTGACGTCTATCTTCTCAAGAAAATTCCACACGTCGGATCTCGGCCTTTTAGGAGTTATTGGTGCAGTAGATTCGTCGCCACCAGATTTAGGATTAACACCGGTAGGAGGAGGAGTTGTTATAGGACTCATCTCTAGATCGGTAGGAGATAGGTTTTGCTCTTCATTATCAGATCCAGAAACTATTTGATGGAAGTATTAGAAAATATAATAGATTATAAGATAGTATAAGATTGTATAAGAGAGTATTAGAGAGAAATAGATGAGTTTTGTTGTGAGGAAATGAAGTGAACCCCCCCCCCTCTATTTATAGAGGTAGCCCCTAGGAAAATGACCAAAAAACCCTCATATTTTAGCCGCTTTTTGGCCGTTTTAAGGGGCAAATCGGTCAAATGGCCAAATATGGCCGTTTGGCCGGACCAGGCAAAACGGTCAGTTTTTTGACCGTTTTGCCC